TTTTAAGGTAACTCTCCACAGTTCCTTCCATTGTGTTTAAGTCATAAATTAAGGTTGCACTGTCCTGTTGCATAGCAACAAACCTGACCCACTTTTTACAATCAATTGCATCTATCTTGAAAACTAAGCCGGTGACCCCATATATATTTTTTTATAAAAATCTTTTTATTACACACAAAAGAAGAAACAACTGGGGACACTAAACAAAAATAAACCTACATCACTAAAATGCTAAAGATGAATACTTACAATACTAAAATAATTATAATTACTATACTAAAATAATAAGAATTATTTACATGAGAAAAAGATCAGGTTTTTTCCTTATGTCGTTATGTTCACGCCTTTATGTTGCTATTATGTCATTATGTCAGGATGTTCACACTGCAAACATAACGACATAACGACATAACGTCCTTCTTATGTCGTTATGTTTATGTCATTTTGTCGTTATGTCCTTGTGTGAATTAGGCTTTATTTTTTTCAGTCCTTTAGATAAACCAATCATTATATTTCAAACAAAAAGCAAGCTTTATACTTACGTATTATTGAGTGCGGCTGACGTATCTTTGCCCACTCTTAAAGCCATGTAGAACGAACTTGAAAACGTCGTCAAAATGATGCAAAACACGACAAGAAATCTTGGAATGTCCTTGTAAATGACAAATCCAAGGCATTTTATGTACAGACCTATGTTCCTGAAGTTCAGAAGTAAAGGTAGAGCTTTTGAAGACATGTAAGTGTAATCAAAATCCCTACGCGGAAGATTCTTTATTAGGGAATGGTTAGCAGTGCTAGTTCAATCAGTTATGAACTACTTACAATCATGGCTAACTGGCGCGCGCTTTGATTGGTTAATTCATCGTCTACTATCTGCCCCTGCATAGGTGTACGCTGCTGACGTGTGTGCTAATGTGATGTAGCTCAATAGTGATGTAGCTTCCTTTGCTCCAATGTGTCAATATTATGTTATAAAACAAATGGTAAACGCCACAGCTGTACACTATTGAGTTATGGATGCACGCGGGAGGTTGCTAAGCACGAAAGAAGCGTAAGAGTCACACGAGGCGATAGCCGAGTGCGATTCTAGCTTCTTGAGTGCTTAGCAAACCTCCCAAGTTACCTACCTAGCTACATGGCTAGAGCATTCAAATGTACGGCACTCTTAGAGTACCGTACAAATGAATGTCCCCCATCATTGCTGCGGAGCGAGCGTAGCGAGCGAGCAGCAACATAATCAGGATTTAAGGAGAATATACAGAAAGGGGTACGAATTCTCGATTTCATCATTTTTTACCAGAATGCATTGCATTTAACCAGAGTGCACTGCGCCACTTTTTACCAGAGTGCGTTGCGCCACGAACAACACCAGGACGTCTATGGCTCGATCGAGCCGTCGTCCTTTTTGCGTGGATTCCAGTGAGAAAGATTAGCGGTTATGTTTTGCTTTGATTCACCTGTAACACGATTTGAAAGAGATTGTCCCTGACTTTCACAACTCTTGCTTTTGTTCTCAATGCAGTACGTGAAAGTTTGTAAATCTGGACGATAAACCGTGACATCTTAATTTTAAACTTAGTATGTCATTTCTTAACAGTCTTGCCTCCTTGGCCGAATTCTTAAATGAATAGAAATCGTCGTTACTAAAGCTCGTAGAATAATTAAAACAAACGAAAACCATAGAACATGCTATTTTCATATATGCTACGATCTATTCCTTTTCATCCAAACATGAATATAAGCTAAAGCTTTAGCGTTTTCACACATCGCTATGGACGCGTCCTCGACACATCTGGCAACATTCTAAAGACATTTAATGCGTATCAGTACAGAATTTATAAGTTAGATTTCTGCTCCTACAATTTCCACATCTTTCGATTTTCGCGATCTGGTAAATGGGAGATTGATGTGTATCGTTTTATGTCCAAACATAGTTCAGATCACTATGTGCTTTTTTTGTCACGATCCCTTGCCATCTCGCCATTGATGCGTTATCATGCATGAAGTTGTAAATGAATCGCTGCGTAAAATATGTCACTCTCAACAGAATGTTCCGCAGCATTATTATCTTTTAAATACCCTTGTAACTTATGTGCTTGTAGATGCTTCTAGTTGCTTTTATGTAACATTTTTTTTTATTAATCTTTGTTTTGTTTGTTTTTTTAAACCATTATTGAGCTGGAGAGTGCAGAGTCACTCACTCAATTTAACCGAAAACCTTTACATCGCATACACAACATTTATCCTTTTTATCCACTGACCTCTCATCAGTGATGTGGAAATCCACATTTTAGGATTTCTGCATATATCAACACTAATAACGCCAAAAAGTCTTGGGACAAATTTGCACCTTTGATGCTTTTGCGCACACGCCAGACAAACGGTCGCGCGCGAATATAACTTCACCTGCCTAGCCTCTCCTCCACCCCACATACAATGAACATTGAAAACTAGTACCTTCTCCTCCTGAGTTTTAACATTCTATGAAGTGGGGAGGGCAGGGGGGACAGTAACGCATTTTCAAAAGGATTACAGTGCCTTTCTAAACTTCAGGTGAAAAAAAAAAAAAAACACAGATAATAGTTGTTATTGCCGTTGAGTCTGCGGTCAAATATTCTTTTGTTTTGAAAGGCACGCAAACGAGGTGAAAGGGTCAATACAATGCAGAATTGACCCTTTCGCCTCGTTTGTGTGTCAAGCCGCTGATAACTGCAATAACAGCTCTTCGTTGCATTACACCAGTGTCTCAAGGCCTTTGGTCCACCGTTGTAGGAGACTTCGAGTTCTAAAACGTTTACACAACGAGACCTCTTCCTCTACTCTAGAACGGCATTACGACATTGTTTAATACCAGGGATTACAACTGGGATTTTGCTGTAGTGCTTTACCACCGAAAATTGGGTTTGGGAGAGTCAAGGATATATCTCTCACTTACCGATCAACAGCGGAGTATTTAAAGATGCCGATAAAATTGATCAAGATTGCCAAAGAAGCACACATCCACTGTGCATCACCTCCATAAAACCTGAAGATGTAGGTCACCAGAATCAGAATGTATCCTGACAGATCCAAGTAGTTGAAGACATCTTTGATGTAGTCGAGTGGTTCTCTGAAAATGTGAGAAGTATACGGTAAAAAATAATAATTATTATGACACAAAACGTCCCGTGTTCGTGACGTAGGTAAATGTACTACTCGGAAATTTTGAAAGGAGTCCTGAAATAAGCAAATATTATTACTTTACATATTCATATCATTTACTTTGCTTGCCAATCACTTTCTTCTTTTTTTCCAAAGAGGTAGATTAATCATGCAAATCTTCTTAACTTTATTTTACACACGCGTACTGTTAGTGAATTTTTCCACTTAAAGCCAGCGATATTTCCAAGCATTCCAACGCGTTAGTAGAAATACAAGTCTGCATACGGGCCAAGTGGCCCACCAGGCCGGAGCTCATCCCGGTTTCTGTAGCACGAAGCGACTAGGAATATTTCTACTCCCCCCTGGATGGGATGCTAGTCCATCGCAAGGTTACCCCCAGCATTAAGTTCGCTGGTACCCATTTATACACCTGGGTAGAGAGAGGCACTGTGAGAGTGAAGTGTCTRGCCCAAGAACACAACACAATGTCCCTGGCCAGGGCTCGAACCCGGACCGCTCGATCTGGAGACGGGCGCACTAACCATGAGGCCACTGCGCCTCCCATAGTAGAAATACAAGGTCAGAATGAAGTCATTGACCTACAAGCTACAACGAAGAACTGCAGACTCAGCAAATCATAATCGTTTAGATAATGTTTATATAGTTCATATTTTGGTTCTCCTACACTACCTTTTTAGTTCAAAGAGTTCGTCGAATATAAACCATAATGTCATAGCAATAACCCAAACTTGAAGGAATTTAAATACACTTGTTTTTTGAAGATCCTCTGACACCGAAGCTGACATGAAATCGGCACAAAGAACAGCCAGAAAAACCAAGTAATTCATTAATCGAATCCTGTAAATTAAACAACGACTTCACTTTAAAATGATTTATACATTTCTTAATGATCGTACAGGACAGCTTTGAGTAATCGCAGATTAAAAAGTACTTTACTGACCGCAAAAGGATGAACTTGTAATTAAAAACTATACAAT